TCGAAGTACTCTTTCCACCGCCCGACAATATCCCAGGTCGAGGTCAGCAGCCCTCCACCCGCACCATACACGGTGTTGGCAAAGAACTGTTTCCCCCTCCTAAGGCGCCGGACGGTTTGCCAGAATCTCTTCGAGGCCGACCAATAGTCATGCCCCATGCACTCGCCGAACTCCTTCCAGTCCCGGGTTTTTGCCTCTGCAACAGCCCGGGCTGCGGCGCGCTTGGCTTGTCGACAGCTGCCTCAGGAGTCCCCCGAACCATCATGGCTTGATAGGACTCCTTCTTCAGCCTGACGCCATCCCTTACTGACGGTGTCCACCACCTGGTTCGGGGGTTGCCGCCGGGACCAGCGCCAGAGACCCTGCGACCACAGCTACGAGCTGCCGCATCGGCAATAGGGGAAGAGAACATGGTCCACTCAGACTCGATATCCCTCTCCTCCGCCGGGACCTGGGAGAAGCTCTCCCGGAGGTGCGAGTTGAAGGTCCGTCTGACAGGGGACTCAGCGAGACGTTCCCAGCAAACCCTCACTATACACTTGGGTCTGCCAGGTCTGGCCGGCTTCCTTCCCTGCCAGCGGATCCAACTCACGACCAGGTGGTGATCGGTTGACAACTTCACCCCTCTCTTCACACGAGTGTCCGAGACACGCAGCCGAAGGTCAGACGCCCTTGTGCTGGAACATGGTGTTCGTGATGGACAAACTGTGACTAGCACAGAACTGAACAACTGAACACCGTTTGGGTTCAGATCAGGGGGGCCGTTCTTCCCAATCACCCTTCTCCAGGTGTCACTGGCATTTTCCACATGGGCGTTGAAGTCCCCCAGGAGAATAACGGAGTCCCCGGACTGTGCACCATCCAGTACACCTCCCAGGGACTCCAAGAAGGCCGAGTACTCTGCACTGCTGTTGGCCCGTAGGCTGTCACAACAGTGAGTGACTTGTCCCCCACCCGAAGGCGGAGGAACGCGACCCTCTCATTCACCGGGGAGAACTCCAACACGTGGCGGCTGAGATGGGGGCAATGAGTATGACCACCCCAGCTCGCCGCCTCTCCCCGCGAGAAACACCAAAAAAGTGGAGTGTCCAACCCCTCTCAAGTAGTTGGGTCCCAGATCCCAAGCTGTGTGTGGAGGTGAGGCCGACTATCTCTAGTCGGTATCTCTCAACCTCCCCCACAAGCTCAAGCTCCTTCCCCCCCAGTGAGGTGACGTTCCACGTCCCAAGAGCCAGATGTTGGGTGTGCGGACTGGGTCGCCAAGGTCTCCGCCTTCGACTGCTGCCCAGTCCTCTTTGCACCGTTTCGCCACCACGGACCCCTCTGCGGGTGGTGAGTCCACAGGAGGGCGTGCTCACGTCGTCCTTTCGGGCTGAGCCCGTCCGGGCCCCGTGGGCTAAGGCCCGGCCACCAGACACTCGCTTTCGAGCCCCGACCCCAGGCCTGGCTTCAGGGTGGGGCCCCAGCTGCGGCATGCCGGGCGAAGTCACGGTTCTTGATAACATGCTGTCCATGTTGGCTTCGGGCTGCTCTTCGTCTGACTCGTCACCCGAGACCTGTCTGCCATGGGAGACCCTACCAGGGGAATGAAGCCCCAGACAACATAGCTCCCAGGATCATTCGAATACTCAAACTCCCCCACCATGTTAAGGTGGCAGTCCGGGGGGAGGATTTTGATTTTCTGAAGTAAACACAAATAAATGTTGTCACTCTTCTGGAAGAGCTCTGTTTCTGTCTTTAGACATGATCAATAAAGTTTGCAACTCTTCTATATAACTAGTCCTGATCTAATGAATAGAGGATTGGTGTGATTTCTAAATCCAGCTTTATAAACAATTTAACAACAATTGTTGTTGTTGTACCTCATCTAAAGCTGTTGATTTTAGCTGTGTTCCCCATATGACTTCTGGCAAACTGCAAAAACGGCTTTCTTTCAGCACGACTTTCTTCTTGCCACTATTTCAGAGAGGACAGATTTGTGTGTAGAGTATGACTGACTGTACAAGATCCTCCTGCATGGGGACTTGGTTCCATTTCTACTCATGGCTGTGCTGTTCTTGTTCAACTTGTTAGTTTAGGTAGGCAGCCATGTCTTAGAAAGTTTGTAGTGGTGCCTACGCTCTTTCAAGTTCTACTAATGCATTGAAGAGTGTTCAGTGAGGTGTTCAAAGCTTTGTAAGTCTTAAATAACTTTTCACTGCTTTGAACTTCTCCACAACTTTGTTTCTGGCTTCCTGGGGGTTCTGTAGACTAAATGATGTTTTTAGTGACCAATACATAGTTCTGGTGCAACAGTGGCTCAGTTGGTAGCGCATTGGTATTGGGCCTGATGGGCATGGGTTCGACCTCCTACCCCATCTATTCCCACTGTTGTCTGCTGCCATTGTTTCCCTAAAGACACATAACCCCACTTTGCCTGAAGCCCCAAAAGATCAAGGGTCATCGCTGACTTGCAGCCACCCTCCTGTGGACTGGGCCTCCTGCGCCATGTGAATTGGGTGGCGTGCTCTTCTTGCCATCCCCACGACCCTATAGATACAGTTGGGTCATGTATGTGGGTAAATAACACAATAGAAACACTTTGATCGTTAGGGCAAGATGTTAGCATTCAGCAGTGCAACCATTTTCAATGAACAAAATCATGCATCATTCTGCTTTCACTTCACAGTTGACAGTTATTTTGTTATGGTATATCTTTATGTCTGTGGTCGACAACATGACAAAATGTGCAAAAGTTCATTGTGTTAAACTCATTAGTATTAAACTTAAAGATTAAAGATTTCACATCATTCACATTTTTACACTGACCCACATTGACAGCAGTCACAGTTCCAGGTCCAACATCTGGTCTCTATCACCGTTTGATAAACAGATAATGATAATTTAAATTGTCTGACAAAGAGCTGGTCAGTGTCTAACTCATTTAAAAGTCCCTATAGGGACCTATAATATATTCGTAAGTAAGTCAGTAGAGAAGACAATATTTACAGAAAGAACAAATGATACATTTTAAGTTCCTAAAATGTACCCAATGTGTACTGTATGTCCTGTCTTTTTTATTCATAATAAAGAGCTGGAGATTGTTATGACCAGTTTTATTAAAATTGAAGCTTTGAATGTAAGAAACGGGTAAAGCTAAGAGAAAGGTAATGATGAGGAAATAGTCTTTCTCCTTTCATTGGGGAAGCTAATCAGGTGATCGAATTATTTCCTTACTCAAGCGTCCATTAGGCCCAGGCCACGGCGTATTACTCTGAAAATGTGTTAATTATGAAGCGCTTTTCAGTTGTAAAATTCATTCATTATTCATTATTCATAGTCACTAATAGCCACAGCTGCCGTGGAGAAGACTGACTGACTGCAAATTGGCACCATTGGCCTTGGTCCACCACACAGCAGATTCACACAAGGCAAACAGGGTGATCAGGTAAGACCCACTCATCAAGAGACAGTTTTATTTATTGTAAAACCTGCACATCCTGATATTTTAATCAGGTCTGCAGGTGGTTTAGTTTAGTCTTTATTTGAAAGGGACAGTGCACAACAACATTATGACAAACCACCATGTGGAAGCATGGATCTGTCAGAGTTCTATGAAAGCAAAATAATGGGGATTGGATTACAATGAGAATACACAAAGAAAAAAACAAGGACCTTTGTCATAGCAATCAGCAAATGATAAAAAAAAAAAAAATCAATTGTGTATGTATTTAATGGATACAAACTATACCTAAAATGTTGCATTTAACACAAAGCTGACACATAGGATCACTATCCTGTTATATTCCGTTTGCCTATAAAGTGTTATTGATTTAAATTTGCCAGTATTATTTTAATCATATGGCTGCATCAAGTTGCTATATATCATATTGGTATAGTCTATGCTACCTGTTCTTTTTTTTTTTTTTAAGACTTCAGCGTGCTCTTCACTCCCAAACATGGAGCATTCATTATGGCCACAAGGTGTCGCATTTGTACTTGTGACGTGGCAGCTGCAAACGTGCTGGAAAAATTATAGCACTTTCCCATAGGAAACTTGAGCCATGTTTAATGTAAAGGAGACTTGCTTCCTTTACCAACACCAAAATACTGCTAAATTGTCTACGTGAGCTGTTTGTTCTGCATAAAAGGTTCATCATTGTTCTCTGTTCATGACTGTATATCATGGACTGTATGGTATGAATGTACGTATGTATAGTTCTGGCACTAGACATTTTGAATTAAAGTAAAAAATGTACCTTTTTCTGAAGGAAAAATATATATGTATGTAAAGATTTATCTTAATTCGGGAAGGGAAACTTGCACAAAATTTCAACCTCACAATTTTCTATTTATATTTGTTTGGTTTGTGTCACTTTGAATGTTCTATGGATCCTATTGCTTTCGTTGTTTGATGTTTCTGCCCGTGCATCTTGCTTGTTGACTATTAGGGGTCTGTAGAGGGGGCACAAAGAGGTTGAGCAGCTATTGTTAACGCGAAGCCTTGGGAGAAAGTATGAAAGGGAAAGAGGTGTTTTTGTGACAACGTGTAGCGGGTAGAACCACTGCCTGAAATGGGCTGCTCCAAGTTTCTATGGAGTGAATTAAACGCCTGCTTATTTTTGTAAACCATGAATAAAATTGACAAAGGGTGTATTCATTTGTATCCTTTAGACAACATGTGCACTCTAATAGAAGTTATCCAGGAAGTGCACATGCTAATCTCAATGAGGGGAAGTTTCGCAGTGACTTGTTGTGGGCGCGTCCCCTTGCCCAAAGTGGTACGGTCCGCCCCGTCTCGTTGCAGAGGGAGCCTATAAAAAGTAAGGGACTCGGCAAAGTTGAATTCCAAAATCTGGAGAGGAACCTTAAGCGTCTAGCACCGACAAGCATCAGAGACACCTCCAGCCGAAATGGAACACACCGAGGTGGTGGTGCCTAAGTCATTAAATGAGTTAATTGCAATTTTGCATAAACTCTTTGAGAGTGACTCCATCAATGTTGACGAGGTTCAGCAAATCATGGAATCATATGAGAGCAACCCCCAAGACTGGAAGAAATTTGCAAAGGCTGACCAGTACAGGTAATATTACTGTTTATGTGCCATTTTGCGGATAGATTTTTTTTAAAGAAACATTACAAAAAGCATGTCGCACTTTGGGGAAAAAACAACAACTGCAGCTGACACCTGCTTGTCTCATCAAAATTCCACGTTAGCGTTGTCTGTTGTTGTGTATCCGTCGCTATATTTAATTGATTGTAATCTAAAGATTACTTTTGTTGACATCTGCCTGTTTGCATGGAGATTTCTATTGCAATTCGTCAAAACAATAACATCTCCATAGATAATCGAATGTTTCCGACCCTCAAAGTCTGATGCTGCGTTTGGAGTAGCGCCCGGCTGCGTCGTGTTTTCGTATAATAATAATTGTTAATATAGTGCATAAGTTAATAATCATCATTTTTTTTATCGTTTTATGTTTATTTGTTTATTATGATATGTTTGTCATCGTAATTTCCCACATCAATAACAAACACATGCTGTAGTCGTCACGTTACATTTGCATTAAAAAACGCGACTTATTTTACACGTTAATAACACTGATAAGCACGCAACCGCTTGCAAAAGTAGCTAAAATATTGCAAACATGCGCTATTATTTACTTTTAAAGTTTGCTATCTAAAGGTTTCTTCATGAATATAAATAATAATAAAGGCGGTGCTTTGGTGTTTTGATCAGAAAGGGTATGCCGAATAGGAGGGAGTGTGGTCCAGGCGCCCAATCAACGCTTAGAGCAGACTCACACCCGCTGTTTTTTAGCAGTGATTTAAGGGGGAGATGGCTGTCAGGGACATTCTGCGACTGTTCCCATGCAAACAAGGGCTGCACTGGTGTCAGAATATCAGTGAAATGTAGAAATGCTATTCCTAAAGATGTGTCATCTGTACGTTACAATATGTGTTGCATTTTAGGTATACACGAAACCTGGTGGATGAAGGGAATGGAAAGTTTAACCTCATGCTGTTGTGCTGGGGAGAAGGACATGGCAGGTACAATGTTACAACTTGCGTTCAGGCCATATTTTTGTTGCCAACAAAATCACACCAGAAGAATGTGTTCCCAACTAATCCTGTTGTTTGTTTGCACATTACAGTAGTATCCACGACCACTCAGACTCACATTGCTTCATGAAGCTGCTCCAGGGTCAGCTCAAAGAGACACTCTTTGAGTGGCCCGATGGTAAACCGCAGGGAGAGATGGTCCAAAAATCACAGCGGATCTTGGTGGAAAACAAGGTTGCTTACATAAATGGTGAGAAGTCACGTGTTTGTACTTTCTGTCTTCTATAAGTGGTGATGACTTGTTTTTATCAGTCTTAAATACATGAGAAGTCAAGATTAAATGCATTGTGTTTGTGTATTTGAGGACTTTAAAGTAAGTCATTTAACAAAACAACTGTACATTGCTACAGGTGTTGGGTACAGCTTGTTCTGTTTGACTCGTTCGTTTTTCATAAACTACATCCATCTGTTAACAGCACACACATTCTGCTCCTGTAAAGTAACTGTACTTTACAACTTTTAAAACAGTTTGCATCCGTTCTTGAATCTAACTACCTCATTTAATAGCATTCCTGTGGCTTTACATTATGCCCCACATGTGCTGTTTCCAGACTCCATTGGCCTGCACCGTGTGGAGAATGGGAGCCACACAGAGCCTGCGGTCAGTCTGCATCTGTACAGCCCACCGTTCCAGACCTGCCAGACCTTCGACCAGCGGACTGGGCACAAGAATACAGTCAAGATGACCTTCTGGAGCAAGTTTGGCCAGAGGACTCCATTTGTAAGGAACCATGCTATCTACATTTTCCATTTGCGGGAATGGTGTTGCGTTTACATATTGTTCTGAAGTATAGGCTACAGACTAGACACACCTACAAAAAAGTATGTTGGGTGCCCATAAATATGATTCAATAATGAAATCAGTGACTTCTTTATCTTGTTGATCAGGATGTCATTCATTTTTTTTATTGCACTATCGACAGAACACTTATGATGTTTATAAGTAGAATTGTTATTACATAAGATATGTATATGCATGGACCCTCAAGCTCCCGGGCCTCTGGTAGAGGACCCGAGCTTAGAGAGGGTGAAAGGTGTGTGTTTTTATTTTACTTTTAATATATAACACACACGTATATATTTCCCAATATTCTGAAATGTGTAGTTTGTCAAATCATGTTTTGCCCGTTACATTATGTGCACACTCAAAATATTGGTCCAGTGTAACTTAGTTTAATAAACTAAAAGTTATTTCTGAAAATTAGTATTTCATACAGATTCATTACACATAGAACTGTATTTCAGATGACTGCAAATAACAACATAATATTCAACTTTGATCGTAATTGTAATGATTTGACTCGGCTTTAGGCCATGCTCCCGACAATATTACCCTTATCTACTTGCTTCAGTTATATAAGCATACCTTGACCATAGCAGAGTGAGGTTAACACTGATTGCAACACCAAATAGTGGAGATAAGATAATTGAAAACTAAAGTACGTAATGAGCACTCAATAAACATCAGCTTCCCATCAAAAATGTGTTTTTTTCTATAACATAAAACACTGTTCAATGGTAAATTGTACAAAATACAGGGAGGCAGAAGTAACCTATTGTATTGTTCTCTGTATTACAGGAGGCAACAGTGTCACAAGAAAACAACTGATCGTCAAAGGAGCCTACATATGCATCCTGTATGTAAACATTTAAGTAAACCATTGGATTGTGAACCTATTCCAAAGGAGAATTGTTGTGGTGTAAATGTGGACATAGAATGACCAAGCAGCTTATTTAAAAAAATGAAAACCGGCCTGGTTCAAAGGGGCTACCCAGTAATTGGAATGGCTTTATCGCTGTCCAGTGTGAGCTTGGCAAATACTGATGAGCACAGGACTAATGGATGAATAGGCTTGGACATGGACTCAATCTGCCTTTTGTCTGCTAGCCCCGAGAAGACCCTTTTCCAATAACAACATTCCTGTCCATCTGTGACCTGTGTACCTACACTTTGGCAAATTATGGCTAATAGTTTTCCAGTTTTATCATTTACAAAACGTTATGCAGTAATGTAGTATTTTTACTGTTGATCTGTACCACTTTGTATTGTGCCACTTTAGCATTAGGCTACCTGTATAGTTGGATTATAATGCCATGTTCCATTTGTATTTGAAAATGTGTAAAGCTTTAGAATTGTATTGTTTTTTTATTGCATTGGATTTAACTTATTTAAAGGGTATTTTTGTTCATCAAATTTACGTGGAAAGAGCCCTATATCTCCGTACAGATACCATAACATATACTCAAAAGTCTTTGGGATCTTTTTTTCTAATATTTTGAGATCATCAAGAAATATTCTCAGGATTTCAATACAATTTATCAAGTTATTTTTGTAATTGTAAAGAAAATACCAATTATTGCCTTAGCATTTGTACCCATGACTTGTCTCATTCTGTATTGCTACTCTTAGCATGCCTGCAAACTATTAAATACTCTTGCTCTTTCAATCACAAATGATGCTTTTGAGTTTTATTTAATTTTTTACAAATATCTTACTGATCTGGTTGTACAGGATTGGACATACTATGGCACATTTTTGACATAGAGCAATATACATATGGAGACATGAAGGAAGTAGAAGTAGCTCGGTGTACTTTTATGTGAAAGACGGCTATCACCTACATAAAGGCCACCCAGATTGGAGACGGGCAGTAAACCATGTTAATGTTTTGAACTTTGGTATCAATCAATGTATCTGATTAATTTCAAATGATGCCCCAATAAATATAACAGGTGCTTGGGAGTTCTTTGCCCTGATAGTGCCTTTTACAACTAGGCTGCAAATATCTGTTTGAGTGATTGCATTTCTAACAACATAGTGAAAGATCTTAGGAGCAAAAATTCAAAATAGCCAGCAATGGAGAAGGATTTAAAAATACTTTTCAATTTATTCTTGTACAGCCCTAAATCACAAAAGTAGTTAATCCGGAGGACTTTACACAAGTCAAAATCGCCAACACAGATCAGAGAATCAAACACAAGAAATGCAATGATTGAAAACGCATAGTGCCATTGGTCCATAAGGGGCAGATGACTAATGCCCATAAATCTTGATAAAGGTTGTTGAATGTTGAGTGTCCTGGATCATCTCCACTGTCTTAATGTTATTTATAAATATTTTCTCATGCAGAATTGTTCTTATATTCTCTTTGGTTTACTTAGTGTGGGACCCACCAGCCAATGTCTGACCTCTGTTTAGTGTTACAAAGATCAATATTACTCAAACAGCCAATGTGCGTCACAAGACATGTTCACCGTCCTGCAAATAGACAAGCAAATTGTACTGCAAATTCAAAAATGTTTAAACTTTGGTGTTGGCTTTTTTCAGTTGATTTTAGCCACCAAGTAATTAGCATTTCAAATGTCTTCCTATTTGTTGTAGTGTTTGAGGTTGAAATTCAGTCTAAGAAGTAATCTACACTTCTAACCCTTGTGATTTTTTTGTCAATAAATCCCTAAAACTGTAACTCACACTTCAATAGTGGAGTCGACCTCTTACCATAGTAAATGCGACACCCCATTTAAAGGGTTACTTTAACACTTGACTGGTCACATATAGACACTGAAAACTTGCTGAAATTTACTTTAGATTACCTCCAATTGTATAAGAAACCTTTATGATATATACTCACATATTACAGACAGCACGTGGGTGTACTCTATTAATTATTTGTATTTTTTTCTTTCGCTGTCACGTTTACAACCTGTTAGCAGCTCTTCCAGATCAGTATCTTCACAATCAGCACTGGTTAATGTTTTTTGTTTTGTCGCACATGTAGCATGTACAATGGTATGTAATTAGCTAGTATCAGAATTCTAATTATTCTGGCTCTAGGGAGATGCAGTATTTAAACACACAGACCAACCTGATATTTACAAACTCTGCAGAAATAAATATTCATACGCACAAAAAACAAAACAAAAAAGAGATCCGTTGCTATGGTATACAGTCCACATGTATGGTCCACAGTTGATATATGGTCTACAATTGAAAATCCTTGAGGTAGTCCTTATCAAACTCACACCAGAGGGAGTGAAGATTTATAAAATGTCCATTAAGTTTTTTTAGAGAGGTAATTGTCCGTTCACGAGAGTATGGAGCGTGAGCTTTATATGAGGAAAAGTTAGAGAGTGGACTGGCTGCAAGGCCTCCTACCCACAGCAGGTCTCAATTAAATTAAGATCTGCCCAATTGGGGCATGCCTGGCCAATTCGCCTTATAGACTGGGCCTAACCAGCACCCAGCGTCTGCAGCGGTAGCAAGGCCCTCTGTGCATAAAGTTGAGGGTTTTAGCAATTTACGAGTTTAGTTATATACATTTAATGTTTGCAGTCACCAACCTGTGCAGCCGTCCTGTGTCGCCTCTGCCCACGTCTCAAGTGTGGGAGACACAGGTGGCTCCTAATTGCAGGTGCCTCGGCTCTGATTGTGTGTGGCGCAAGTGAAGGGTGAGACCAGATTTAACATTGAAAATATAAAACATATTTTAAAAAGGAAATTTTAATGTGGGTTACATCCTCCCCGCCTAAATGTGTGCACATCCCGTTACACGACAGAACATTAGCGAACGGAAGGTAGATGATCGGACACGACGGACTGTAATGCAGAGCTACTGCTACAGATTCATTGTGATTAAGAGAGGCGATTTGAACGTCTAAGTTGTTTTAACTACATCAGAATCATTGTCATGGTTGAGTTCCGGAGGGTCCTCAACGGACGCATCAATGGTAGGTATCTTCATGTAGAGGTAAGTTAGTAACTTCAGGTAAGTTGGTCAATTCAGGTAGGTCATTCGGGTGTAGCCAACTCTTCGCCCTCAGGGTCAGACTCATCACTGGTTGCAGCGATTGTTGGAATTTGGGGTCTTTGATTGTCAACTGAAAGATCAGATAGTATTGTCTCCGGATTGCCTTCTGCAGTGGGCATAACTGTTGGAAGTGCTCTCTCCACTGTGAAAGGTAGTGCAGGATTGACATTTACAGAGACTAGGCTTTTGGTGTCCTCGACTGGAGCGTCGGTAGAAATCTCCGAGTTCTTTGTCTGTTGTAGAGTTCGGGGTCTGACAGATGAAGATTCAGGAGATTGAGTTATCGCAATCTGTGAAATTTTTGCATGGAAGCAGAAGGTGTCTGTGGAGGGTTGGTCTCTCTGGCTTGACCTTGTAGACTGGAAGATCTCCAGCTCTATGGACAACAATATAAACTTCCTCTTCCCACTTGTCTGAGAGTTTATGCTTTCCTCTGAGACAAACATTCCTTACAAGGACTCTGTCCCCTGGTTCTGTAATAGGTTATTGACAATGTGTTATTTAAAAAAAAAAAGTGGACCGGCTGGTGTCCTGGTGCAGTGGTAACAACCTGGAGCTGAACACCCAGAAGACAGTGGAGATGATTGTGGACTTCAGGAAGAGCACTGTCCCCCCGCCCCCACCCTCCGTGATGGACTCCCCCATCACCTCCGTGGAGTCCTTCCGTTTCCTGGGCACCACCATCACTCAGGACCTGAAGTGGGAGCCGACCATCAGCTCCCTCATCAAGAAGGCCCAGCAGAGGATGTACTTCCTGCGGCAGCAGTCAGGGACAAACAGAGACTACAGCGCATTGTGCGCTCTGCAGAGGAAGTGATCGGGCGCAGCCTTCCATCGCTGCAGGACCTGTACGTCGCCCGAGCTCGAGGCCGGGCTGGTCGTATCACAGCCGACCCCTCTCACCCTGCACATGAACCCCCCGCCACAAGAACAGTTTATTCCCCTCTGCTGTTGGACTCTTGAACACTTCTTAACCTGTCCCCCCCGCCCTTTATAAAGTCACTTTACTGCCCATCATACGTCACTTTACTTCACTGTACTGCTGCCACCTTACATTGTGTGCACCATGTGCACTTATATTGTAAATAGTAACTAACTCTATTTTAAATTTAAATTTATTCCTTAGAAGTGTTTTTTATTCTTTATTCTTTATATATATTTTTTTATTATCTCTTTCTGACTGTTGCACTGAGCCAAAGCAATTTCCAAGTCTGTGACTTCCTGTTGCTTACGTGGCAATAAAAATGATTCTGATTCTGATTCTGAAAATAATACGTTCAGAATAAATAATAATTTACATAACCTTAATGAACAATATAAATACAGTTTTAAAAGTACGTCATGATGTTTCATGATTATCAATATTTTATCAAGATATTTCATTTGTTAGATCTGCTAGTAGGCCTTGGACTCTAGATCGTCTGGTTATGCCTGCACGCACCACAAGAGGGATTTTCTGCTGTTTATCCATGGATCTATTAGTGTTTATCCCATGGTTCTATCATATTAACTGGATAGGGTATTGCCAGCTTGGAGCTGAAGAACTCATGTGCTCGGGGGATTCTCGCGGTACTGCAGACTAAACCAGACTAAATTCACGTGGGCTACCCAGAAATTCTCCCCCAACTCAATGTAAACTAAAACAGCATGACCTCAGCTGACAGACAACCTACAGCTTTCATAAAGGTCGGATTTTGTGGGGATTTTAGTGTCCCTTTTCTCCTGAACTTGTTTTTCTTCTTAAATCCTTCGGTTTTCTTTAAATCCACACTTTAGTGCCACAAACTCGGATCGTCTAGCT